CAGGGGGCAGAGGCTTCGCGAGGCTGAGATGAGCGATGAGGCTGTCCAACTCTGCAATACGAGCCTTGCTGCATGCAACCAGGTCAGGCTCTGTGCGATCCGTACCTGCGTCGTCAGCGATTGGCTGCGCCTGCTTTTTCTTGAGTTCCTTCTCCAGCTGCGCGACCTTGTTGGACATGGCCAGAAGCTGCTTCTCCAGAGGCTTCCCGCCTGCGCTACCAGGCGGCTTGGTCCCTGACCGAGTAGAACGAAAATTAGACTTGGGCGCTGGCTTGCCTTTGAATGCCACCGCCTTGGGCATAGCACACGAGTGACAGGCCAGCTTGTCTGGGTAGTTGACGAATGGCTTCCCATCTCGTCCCTTGCACCACTTGCAACACCACTTGGTGCGCTGCTCATCTCTGCGACCGACTGGTGCCATTGCTGCTCCCAAACTGTGCGGAGTGTGTGGGGGCCACACGATACAGTTCCCCAAAGAGCAACTTTGGCCAGGGCGGCCCAGAGAACAGTCGTTTTCCGAGAATTTGGCCCAAAGCGCGACCCCTCGCGCTCAGAACGCCCTCTCGGACTCGCGGTCGTCGGGTGACGCATTGCCTTGAGCCAAAACGGCTACGGATGTGTGTGTGTGTGTGCGTGCGTGCGTGCGTGTGTGTGTGTGTGTGTGTGTGTGTGTGTGTGTGTGTGTGTCTGTCGCAACTCTGCTAACCGTCAGCCGACCAAGAAACCTCGAGGCGCCCGCAGGCCCCGCGCACCCACAAGGACCCCCCAGAGAACACTGCGGCCGAATGCGCACAAAAAAAGCCAGGCGCTGAAGCTCTCCCGCGCCTGACCCAGCTTCTGCTTGCCGTGGAACCTCCACGCGTCAAGCCTTCTCGACGCTCCTGCGTCTCCCGCCATGTGGTCCGCCTCGGCGCAACGCTCCGTTTCCGTCTCGGCCGCGCGGCTCTGGAAGCGGCGCGCGGCGCAGAACTCCGCAAGCCCCAGCCATCGGATGCCGATCTCCCCCCGCACGTACCACACGGCTTTGCCAACGCCCGGGTCACACGAGCCCGTCTTCTCGCACGAGTCCCCTTTGGCTGCCGTATACACCGTCCCCGACGAGTCCGCCTTCTCGGACGGGTCGGCCTTCTTCGACGAATTGTCCGCCCTCTCCGGAAATTCCGGATCTTCCTTCTCCGACGATCCCGCCTTTTGATCCGCCTTCTCCGACGAGTTCGCCTTCTCGACAGAATCTCCGTGCGCTTCGGGGAACTCCTTCGCCGACGCGTCCAACTCCAACAACCCCAAGTCGCGCAACGATTGCACAAGAGGAGCAGGAGGAGGAGGAGGAGGATGCTGACGCTGATGCTGCTGCTGCTGATGATGCTGATGCTGATGCTGATGCAGATGCAGATGCTGATGATGCTCGTGCTGATGATGCTCGTGCTGATGATGATGATGATGATGATGATGATGATGATGATGATGATGATGACGATGATGATGATGATGACGATGAGGAGGATGAGGAGGAGGATGAGGAGGAGAAGGAGGAGGAGGAGGGGGATTCTGGCCATTCGTTCGAGAAAGTCTGCAACGAGAACCCCACCTTGACAAGGAACCGCCCTCCGCCCGTGCAGCGGTTGCGGCTGCCTGCGCTTCCGGCTGCCGTGTTCGGCCAGCTCGCGAGCGGGAGCACCGCTTCGAAAACGACCCGCCGCTGTACTCGCAGGCTGCTGCAAGCTGTCGAGGCGAACGTGCGCGGCACAATGGCGAGCGCCGCGCTCCGTGAAGGCAGCGCCATCCGCTGCTGTGACTGCTGCAGGCCTCGAGGAAGCTTGTGCGCGGCGCCGGGGGGAGAGCCCACGTTTGATAAGGTACCGCCCGCCCTCCAGCCGTGCAGCTGTTGGTGATTTCAGGCTTCAGGAACACACGTGGTGAAGATGTCTCCAGCGGAGCGCCCAGCCCGCCCTAAACACGGACACATCTGGTTGTGAGACAGGGAGGAGCCTTAAGGAAAAGGGATGGAGGAGAAGGAGGAAGGAGAAGATGCTAAGAAGGATGAGGAGGAGGAGGGCGAATGAGGGGGAGGAGGGATGAAGAGGGAGGGCGAGACACTAGTGGGTGATACGGAGGAGCATGAGTGGAGAATGCAGGAGAAGGGAAGGGGGAGGAGGATGGTGGTGAACAGAGCGGTGAGTAGGGGGAGGAGAAGGCGGATGGTGAGGAGGAGAAGGAGGAGGACGATGGACAGCAGTCAATTTTGGCTCAAACAATCTCTTGACGCATCGACCTCCCCTCCCCACGGCCCGCGTTGCGAACGCTGTCTGAACTGGTGGCTCCAGACGGGACGGGTCTCAGCAGAGGATCCGACGTAAGAGATCAGAGTTACGACGACGGCGGATCGCTCGCGTGCTGTAGCCGATGGCGCATTGAAGAAAATTAGGAACCTCCTCAAGCGCAAGACGTACGAGCTGGGGGGGACTCAACATCAACTAACTAGAAGCCTTGGTTACGGAGCTCGTCGACGCGGACTTCGTATCTGAAATCTCGTCGACGCTCGCCATGCTCGCGCTGGCCCTCACTGCCAGGCTGCAAGACAAGCGGGCCACCACGTTGGAGGCGTCCCGAAGTGGCATCCCACCATTCCAGGGTCGCAGGGAAGGAGCTGGCGCATGCAAGCCAGAAGACGCTGAGCAGGATAAAGATGGGCCGCAGCACCGACCAGGAGAAGTCCTTCGCGCAGAACACATGCGCCTCCGAGCTCATCCCAGGCCGCGTCGTCGCATACGAGGCCGACTTCAACTATGCCTACAAGGACGCTGGAACAAACTGCAATGGGGAAATCCACCGATATGAAATGGCCAGGGCAGGAACAAACTGACAAGGGCTGAGACAAGCCCGAAACAGTTGGGACGAGGCCGCCAAGGCCCGAAACATGAAAGGTAAACTGGCCAGGGCTGGAAGCCCAGGGACTACACGCAGCATTGCCCTGGATGGGAAGGCTCCAGCAAGCGCTGGACTGGAGCTCCCCCCTGCCAGTGGACCTAAGCAAAATGATCGGGGCGTCGATGTGCACGGATAGCCAGATACTCGTTTAAGAAACCGCAACAAACGTTCGAGCTACGCTAGATGCTAGAGGACGAGCTCGAACGGAAGAGCGCTAGGTTCACAGAGCAGCGGTAACATGATCATTGGCGCATAGTCGAGCCGAGCCGCAGCCAACTTGTCATGTAGCTCATACCAGCTCAAGAAGGCGGCAGTAGCAGCCCCGCTGAAGCAGGTGGCATCCTGACAGCAGGTTCCAGAGGCAACATAGCTCAAGAAAGTGGCAGTGCCAGCCTAGTTCAAGAAGGTGGCCGTGGCAAGCAGTGGCAGCTCAACTCAGGAAGGCCAATCACGAAAGAGTGATGCAATGAACCAGCGTGTCCCGCCAACCAGAAACCAATATGAACAATACACGCCGGAAGACCACTTTGGCCGCCTACTACGGCAACTGCGACGAGGTCTTCAAGTCGAACGCCTATCACGGCAATCGCGGCGAATTCCACATGACAAGACCCCGAATCGCCGAGGAGGGGGGAGCAGGAGGTGACGACGATGCCGTACGGCAGAGAGCGCCCCTCCACAACTCCTCGTCCTCTCCCCTGGCAGCGACGGTGAGGAGGCCTTCGCGCACTCCCTCTTCCCTTCCCTCCCTCTCGTTGGCATGTTCGACAAGGGTCCTGAGGGAAAGGTGGCCCGAGGAAAGAGGGCAAGGGGTTCTGAGGGAAAGTGGTCCTGAGGAAAAGAGATTCGAGAGAAAGAGAAAAAGGGGCCCCTGGGACCAATCCTTCAACCTGGGTCATCCGCTGACGGTCGGGGGACCCGAGAAGGGCCTCCTGGAGGCCGGGAAGAGGTACAACATCTCAAGGGATCGTTTCCCCAGGACACCTCTTTGACGCTGCGCAATCGGAGATCGTTGCGTTATACGTGTCTTGCAGAAAAAATCATCGCCGACTCGGGCGAGGAAGCAAACAACTTAAGCAGGTGGCGGACGCTGCGGGCAAAGACAGGCAACATAAAGAAGGGCATCAGAAAGAGGCCAACTACGGCGCAGAGTAAGCGCCCGCCACCTGCACTGGGGGAGGTACCTAAGGAGCACAATCATGACGATGTGATAGGTGATGGCCAAGATCTAAGGAGGATACTGAATAAGGAGAGATCGATACGCATGCGAAACAATTCAGGCGACTCGCGCCCCAGGACACCCCCTGTTCCTCCTCCTCACCTGCTCCTCCCTCCTCCTCCTCCTCCTCACCTGCTCCTCCCTCCTCCTCGCCACCACCTCCTCCTCCTCCTCCTCATTCTTCTCCTCCCCACCACCACGTCCTCCTCCTTCCCCTCCAGTAATCGAACCAAGGAACATCGCAAACGAGACATTCATTTCAAAAAGGAACCGCCTTCGACACATGTACCTATTGCACAATCCTGTTTCCCCGCAGTCGATGGAATGGAGATCTCAAACGGCTATCCCACCCTGAAACGAAACCACCCTCCATCCGCATGCGGGCCGTACCCTTTGATAAGACAAGTAAGCACAGCGGTGAGGCGATCACCAACCTATTGCGACAAAAATGATCTCCCCCCCCTGCAGCTTGCGGAAGCGGTCAAAAGGAGTGCGCGCAGCGCCAGGGCGAGAGCAACACACACACACACATTGAAAAAATGGTCTGCCCCCGTATCACGCGGGACGTCAGCCCCCCCCTGCTTAGTAGCCCTGATACACGTCTTGTGGAGGAGGGCCATACGGTGGGCGGGGCGGCACGTGGGCACGTGGGGGGAGGAAGAGAGGTGGGACGCGGGGAGGAGGAGGAGGAGGAGAAGAGGGAGGAGGGAGGAGAGGGAGGGAGGAGCAGGATGAGGAGGAGGACGAGGAGGAGGAGGAAGGAGGAGAAGGAGGAGGAGGGGGAGGAGGAGGGGGAGAGGACGGAGAAGGAGGCGAAACACGCAAGAGAAGGAGGAGATAGCGGACGCTGCTCCTTGCTGGTGCGCCGGGGTGTGGGCCGTGTAGCCGAACGCCACCGCGGGGCTGGGCAGGCGGAGGGAAGGGGGAGGAGGATGAGGACGGGGGAGCAGTGAGGAGGAGCAGGAGGGGAAGGACTGCGAGGGGGAGGGGGAGGAAAGTGAGGCTGAGGAGGAGGGGGGGGCGACAGCGACGACCAGGAAAATGAGGAGGAGGAGGATGAGGAGGAGGAGGAAGAGGAGGGAAAGGAGGAGGAGGAGGAGAAGGAGGAGGAGGAGGAGGACTACGACGATGACGACCAACAAGGGAAAGATGATGAGAACGGGATGGGGGTGCAGGACGAATATGCTTCCTCCTCCTCGTCCTCGTCTCCTCCCAGTCTTGCATCCTCCTCCTCCTCCTCCTCCCTCCTGGCCCTCTGCCCCTCCCTCCTCCTCCCTTCTCCTCCTCCCTCCTCCCTCCTCATCCTCCGCCTTCTTCCATTCTCTCTCGTTCTCCTCCTCCTCCCCCTGCTGCCTCCTCCCTCCCCACGCGCCTCCCAGAGCCTCCGACACGCCCACTCGCTCCGCCCCACCGTGATCAGCAGACAGCACATGGAAGCGGGAATGCACGGTCGACGTCGGCGGCGCTCGGAGGGGCGACAGCTGCGAAGGCGGGGCTTCGGGCCCCTCCGAGGCCGAAGATCGGACCGACATCGGCGCGCTCCGCCCCGAACGGCCCCATCATCGCGAACACTGCGACCGTCGGCCGACATGCCCGCTGGCGCCCAAATTGAACGTGGCGGTCCCGATCCCGATCCATCGATTACTCGACCTCGAAAGGACAAACAGACCGGCCCCCGTTCGCCTAATTGACTATGCCGCTTGAGCACAGGAAGCGTTGCCGACTCCAGGGCTGCGGTCTGGCTAGGGGTTAGGTGATAGCACGTCCAAGACATATGCAATTCACGCTTGCCCTCGCCTCCTCCCCCACCCTTACATCCTCTCTAGCTTCTCCTCCTCGTCCTCCTTGTCCTCCTCGTCCTCCCCGCCCTCCTCCTCCTCCTCCTCCTCGTCCTCCTTCTCCGCCTCTCCCCTCACTTTCTCCTTCCCCGTCTCCTCCGTCTCATGCTCCTCCAAGAGTGCGAGAAATGAGTAGGAGGAGGAGGATCGGGGAGACGTAGGACTCGGGGTCGGGGGACGAGGGTTGGCCCGACGGAGCCGTCAACGAAATGACGAGACCTCGTCTAAAATTTGACGCGAACGCCCGCTGCAGACACCCCACGACAACTGAACCGTCTAAGTCTGGGACGGACGGGCCTGTCAAAAAGCGTCGGCAAATCCAAGTTCTGGCGTACTCGAGTCTTACGCTTCCCTGGGGGGATGGCAAGGAGGGGGAGGAGGAATGACGCATCAGGACGTCGACGACGACGTCGTCGTCGGCGACGACCACTACGACTCCCGCTCAGAGGTCTCTGAGGGTCTCCAGAGGCTTCTGGAGGGGACCCGAGTCGCCTGGCGGAGGACCTCGGATGCCTCCCGAGGCATACAATACCTATACGACTACCGTTCGGGTGATACGAAGGTTCGGGGGGGAACCAATGTTTGATTCCATCGAACCCACATGGATCGAACTCCCGATCTCACAGCAGATCGCGCAATCGACCTCACTATCGACGATATCACTATCGATATGACAACAGATCTAAATATCGATCTCAGGACAGATCTCTCTATCGAGTTGTCAATCGAACACACTATCGATATCACAAGCGATCTCACGAACGATCTCACGACAACTCTCACTGTCGATCTCACATTCGGACTCGTTATCCATCTCATTACGTTTCTCACTACCGGTCTCACTCTCGATCTCACAATCGATCCAATCATCAATCGAACTAGTGGTCTAGCAATCGATCTCACGTTCGATCTCGCAAGTGACCTCAGTATCGATCCCCCTATCGATCCCACTACAGATCACACAAGCGATCCCACGACACATCCCACTATCAATATCACACCATGTCTAATTATCAATATCACAACAAATCTCACTACCGATCTCACTATCAATGTCACATTCAATTTCACCATCGATGTCAATATCGGCTTGACAACCGAACTCACTGTCGATCTTACAAACGATCTCACAATCGATCTCACAACAGATCTCATTAACGATCTCACTAACGGTCTCACCATCGATCTGACAACCGAAGTCACTATCGATCTCACATTCGGATCCACTAGCGATCTCACAACAGTTCTCACTATCGGTCCCACTGTCGATCCCATACTCGATGCCACTAGAGGTATGATAACCGATCTCGCAATCGATCTCATGGTCGCTCTCGATGACGATCTCGCTGTCGATCCTACTATCTATTTCACGAGCGAACTCGTCAGCGATCTCAAAACATGTATCACGATCGATCTCACAAGCCATCTCACGATGGATCTCACAACAGACCTCACTGTAGATCTCCCAATCGATCTCACCATCGATCTGACAATCGAATACACTGTCGATCACACATTCGGGCGCACTATCGATCTCACAACAGTTCTCACTATTAGTTTCACTATCGATCTCACAATCGATATCACCATCGATCTCACGAAAGATATCCGCATCGATCTCACAACAGATCTCACTAACGATCTCACTGTTCATCTCACCGCCGCGCCACCCACGGGACACCCCGCGCCACCGACGGGACACTCCGCGCTACAGACTGGACACCGCCTCGCCACCGACGGGACACTGATGGGACACCGCCGCACCACCGACGGGACACCCCCAGCCACCGCGCGTCCTGGGGGGGGGGCGGGGGACAACGGGCTCCGCAGCCACTGGCCACGGCGGCATCATTCCTCTCGCGCGCCCACGCAACTTCGCCTCGCCCGCACGCGCGACACGAACACGAAACCGACACGGTTTTCCCGGTGGGGGGCTCTCCGTTCCTCTGCGATCCCACCCCCCAATATCCGACAGACCACCGATCCTCGAACTGGGATCGATCTCGAATCTCGATCCTCGATCGACGAGGACCTCGCCCAGGGTGGCGGAGAGAGCCGCCAGCTGCAGAGGCGCCTCGCGATCGGCGCTCGGCGGTAGAAGATGCCGCCGAAGGCCACCAACGTGTCGCCGAGGGGGTACCTGTCTTCCTCCTCCTGGGCCATCTTCCTCCTTTGTGCTCCTCCTCCTCCGCCTCCGTGGTGTTTCTCCGCCTCCTCCCTCAAACTCCCTCCCTCCCTCCCTCCTCCATCTCCTCCTCCCCCCTCCTGTCTCCTCTCTTCCTTTTTCAGTTGTCCCTCCTCCCTCCCGCCCGCAGCTGCGCGACAGCTCAAGCGGTGTCTTTTGGGAGCAGCTCAGGGCTGCATGACCGCCGAGCGCGCGCGACGAAGGGCGTCGTCAGCCCCAGCGACCCCGACGAGTCAGATGGAGCACGAGGCGCACCCGGAGCCCGCCGCGCGGCTTGCCCCGAGGCCCCTGGCTGCGGCGCTGTGTCGCCTGGGCTGTGCTGCCCGGCGACGGCAAGCCCGAATAGAAAATCCGAATCATCGCGGCTTCCGCCCCCCCGGGTGTCGACGGATCGGCGTAAGCCTTTACATTAACAAAAACAGGGAGAGAGCTGCTAAGACGCAGTGAGGCCTCCTGCTCCTGATCCTGCTGCTGATCCTGCTGCTGCTGCTGCTGCTGGTTCTTCTGCTTCTCCTCTCACACACTCGTCGTCGTCCTCCTCATCCTCCTCCTCCTCCCCCTCCTCCTCAATTTTTCTCGCGTCCCCTCTCCCTCACCCTTACCTTTCTCCTCCCAATCTGGGAAGGGTGGGAGGGAGGGGGAGGCAGGTGGCGAGGGGACGAAGGAAGGTGCTGAGGAGAAGGCGGATGAGGAGGAGCAGTAGGAGCAGTAGGAGGAGAGCGACGACGAGCACTTCCGGCGTCCGCGACCACGGCGGAGCTTCGCATAAAGGCAACGGCTCCTGATGGAAACGGACCCTTGGCCCTGGGGCCGTCCCCCGGAAGTTCTTCATCCAGAGCCGCATCCTCGCACTCCCTGGGCCCGTGGAGGGCCCCCGGGAAGCCAACCGCGGAGAAACCATCCGGAGCCCGCTCCCCCCGGAGGACGCCTTCCCTTCCTGGCGAGCGGTGCCCTCCCGCCCCGCCGCCCCCGGCCGCCCCGACGGACGGGGCGGGGCACGCGCGCCCCGTCTCGCCCGCCGCGGTGCCCTGGTCCGAGCCGCCGGCCCCGCCCCCCGTCGCAGGGCGTGGGGGGGGGCTCTCCCCGCGTGGGCTGCCTGCCTCCTCCTGCTCTGCGCCCTCCTGCTGCTGCTCCTCCGCCCCCTCCTTCCCCACGTCCCCCCTCCGCATGTCCGTCCCCGCCCCCGCCCCATCTCCCCCTCCCCCATCCCTCGCCGCCCTCCTTCCTCCTCGCACCCCTCATCCGCCTCCTGCTCCCCTCCTCCTCCTCGTCCTCGTCCTCCTCCTCCTCCTCCTCCTCCTCCTCCTCCTCTTCCTCCTCCTCCTCCTCCTCCCGCCACACCTCCCCTCCTCCTCCTGCTGCTTCTTCCCCCTCCTCCTCGCCGCCAGGCCAGGGTATGTATAACTTCACTGCGCAGCCAATCGGTGCAACCTGGGCGCCATGTGGCACCTCCTCAGTGAGGCGTACGGCCGCTGATGATTCCGATGCGGTGCCCCCGCGGCTACAGCCTGTCATCAGAATCATATTGGTGTCAGCGCGCTCGCCGCGGCCACACCTTCGGCTGTACTTTTGTGGGGGCCAGGGGGTGGGCAACGCTCCGTGCTGCTGGTGGGGCTGCGCTTGAGGGTGCCGAAGCCCTGTGCCGCACCCCGATGCCTCCCCGTTTCCCTTGCCACTGCACGTGCGGGGCGAGGACGGAGAAGCGCCAGGGTGTGGGCTTGGGCCTTGTCTCTCTCTGCGGGGGGTGGGGTGGGACGGCCTCCCGTGCTGGGCTTCCTCCTCAGGCGCGGCGTCGCCGGCGCTGCTGGGGGGCTGGCCAGGAACAGCGGGCCGGAGGTCGGTCCCAGCTTGTGCCTGGTACGCCTTTGTTGAAGGGGCCCTGGGACACACAAATAAATACACACAAATAACAGGACTTCCCATATTTTCCCATATTTTCTGAGTTTTTGTCTTCCACCCCACTTCCCATATTTTCCCATATTTTCTGGGAATCGACGATGAATTGTGTCTGTGTGTGTTTTCTCCTCGTGATTTGTGCACGTGTGCCCGCCGTGACGGCAGAGAACTGCAATGCCAGACCTGCCCACGCCACGTTGGGCGTTACGTTCTGCCACTCGGGGCTTGCGACGACCGTCCTCCTCCTCCTCCAGCTCGGGCGGGGCGCACCGCTGCGCTCCTCATGATAGCGGGCCTGCCGCGCTGAGAAACTGCTCGCATGGCCGCCACCTGCGGACCAGAACAATGATCCCGCTCGCCCACCTTCGCGCTGCCCGCCTCGGGCCGCGCGCGGCGCGAGCACCTCCGCGGCGCTCTCGCGACACCTCTCCTGTGAAGGAGCACCTCTGCGGCCCGAGCCGCAGCGCGCGCGAGGCCACGGCCATCTCCGCGCCCTTGCGGGTGGCCCTACGGGGCGTCCCCGCCTCACCGCCGGAGCGGTCGAAAGGCTCCACGATGGGCTTCCGGGCAGAACGGCCCACCGAGCCAGCGAAGTCGGCCGCGGGAGCAGTGAGCAGAGGTGTCGGCAGACGCCCCAGGCCTCAGTGTAGGGCGGCCTCGAGGATCCAACACGAGCCCCCCGAGGCTCCTTTTTGGGGAGGAGAGCGCGACCACACATATGCAGACTCTACGAGACCTCAGCCCAAACATGAAGATGTCTCAGTTTTTCGGACGCCCGAGATGGTTGAGGAAATACGAATACGATGCCGAACAGCAAGTACTGTCCCAAACTGATAGCGGCCATTGTTGGGAAGGCGGAATTGTGTCCCAAAAGGAGCAAGCCCGCGGCGGCACCGGCAGCGAGTCCTGTTGAAAATGGGCAGCAGCTGCGGTCGGTCGTCGTACCCATTCTCTCCATACCCAGACATGCGATGCCCGGCGTTTTTCAATACAAGGTCCCTGGGAGTCCCGACCCTTTCCCCGGAGCCAATTTTTCGTCCTGGCAGAAAACAACAAAACCTGCCTAGTCCGGATTGCTTCACGACGCGGGCATGTGTTGGTACCCATGTCAATCGTACCGAATTGTTCCTTACGCCGAGCTTCTGCCAGCGGACCCGCCGCCATTCCCTACTCCCGCTGGCCTCCGCCCCGGCACGCCGTCGAAGCGCAGCCTCTGGACGCACAGCCATGCGCGAACTCGTACGACAGAGCCCCACTGAATCCTCAAACAGGAGCCTGCAAGAGCAGCGGAGCAGGACAACACAATACAATCATACATTCCCCAAACAGTGCGTACAGTTAGGGTTCATCCTTCTGTTCTGAGGAACTGGGCCGTGTCTTCGGTGTGGCGCCTATGTGGCCGCTGTCGCCGCCCCGTCGCCGCCTCGTCGCCGCCTGTCGTCTGGGACGTGTCGTCGGTCTGGCGGCTATGTGGCCGCCGTCGCCGCCCCGTCGCCGCCTCGCCACCGCCCTAAACTGCAAAACGTAGATTGCACCGCGTAGATTGCCACATGGATTGCACCACGTAGCTTGCACAACATCGCTTGCACCGCAAATATTGCACCACATGGATTCCACAACGCTTACTTGAACTACGCAGGAGCGCGCAACATACATTGCACCACGTTGAGTGGCGCAACGCACGGGAAGCACCATAAACGGTGCACAGCATATATTGCGCATTGCAAGCATAACTTAAAACGCGTAGAATGTACCACAGGAGGTACGCAATAATTGCACCACATAGACTGCACACGTGTACATCATATACACATATTGCACCACATCGTCTGCGCCACCAAGGTTGCACCACATAGAGTGCACAACATCAGTTGCGCACCGCATAGACCGCACGCCTTAGACTTCATCACGCACCTTGCACTACATATTTTCTCATCGCTAAAAGAGGATTCGGATATACCCCGCCTCCCCCGGGGTTTGGAGTACACCTCTTCGTATTGCCATGTGCATGTGGTTCAGCGCCGTCGTCCATCCTATGTATGAATCCGGACCATCCAAGCCAAGCCAGAGTCCGCCCTCCTCTGATCCCCTGCACAAACATACTATGCGCGCGCACTTGTTCATCACTGATCAAAAATTGAGAATAATCCATGGCAGAATATTCGGGCGAGGCGAAGTGCACGCGCGAGCGCGTTCGCGCGCGCATGCCGCAATTCTTTGAACACCTTACATGTCATAAATATTACAGAATCGAATGTCCCGACAATACGATATAAACACTGTGTGTCGCAACAGGGGTTGTCAAACAACAGATATGTGCCCGCGCTCTTGTAATTTTCAAAGCTTGTTACCAAACGGGCCTCTCGCGCGCGCGTGCCGGAATCGTTCGAACGTCCTTGCGCGAGTGCTGTCGCAGTACCCCTTTGCAAAACAACGGGGCGGCGTGCACACGCGCGCGTCGTCGAGAAGAAAAACGAATGTCACGAAAACATATAACACGTGTTTTGTAACAGTGTTTTTGCTCTTGCGAGTTCTTAAGACAACCACCAACGGTTGTTCAACATTTGCATCAAATTCTGAAGCACGGGCATCTCGCACCGCGTGCCGAGCTCATTCGAACGCCGTTGCTCGCGTGCTGGATGGGGGGGGCACGATGCTCGCGTGCTGGATGGGGGGGCACGATCCGTGTCAAATCATACCACGCGGGCCAGTCGCGCGCGTCGGCCGCGCGCGCATGGCGAACTCCGCCAAAAACCTTCATCGACGACGCGATGACATCGTCATCGCCATCGGCGGGCGTGATCTGCATCGGCGCCGTCATTGGCCTCCACGTCATCATCGCCACCATCGTCACTATCACCTTCATCGCTACTCCTATAATCGTGTCTTCCATTGTCGGCGTCGCCATGGTACCGCGACGCCCGAGTCGCCGACTCGCACTGCCCGCTGGGAAGTGCCCAGCGGTCAGCGCCACTGCGGCCGCGTTGGTCGCGCCAAACAAGCTGGCCGCTGCGCGCACGGGCGTGCGCGGGGCAGCGCGCCCGCAGAGATGCACCAGCCAACGCCAAGCACTCATCGCAATTGCCGCCGCATGGGTTTTGCAAAGCAAGTTGCGGGTGGGTGGGTGGGATGTCTGCAAGAGCATGGGGTTTGCCAACTCGTTTTTTAAATCAAGTCTCCTTTCTACTTTAAAAAAGACTTGACTCTACCCCTCCCCACCCCCGGAGTGAACGGTTCTCCTTTTCCGTGTTGCAATGTACATACGATTTTGCCCCAGCGCCAATCCTAGATATAAACTCATACTACCCCAGGCAGGCCGGTATCACTCCCCCCACCATCCTCTGCAAAAAATACTAGGCGCGCGCCCGTTCATCAAAAATCAGAAGTTTTCAAAAATCCCTTTACACAAATCTGGGACGAAGTGCGCACGCGTCTTCGCGCGCGCATGCCGAAACCCTTCAACAACCCTAGGTTTCCCAAGGGTTCCAAAATCGAGTTTCCAAAACACAAACAAAAAAAAACTGTTTCGCAACACTGATGTTCAAAAAAACGTACGCGCGCTCTTGCGAAATCTTCAGAAAGCCATAGGCGTTTCAATATTTTCAAAACATGCCATCAAACAAGCTTCGCGCGCGCATATCGAAATCTTTCGAACGCACTTGCACGCGTGCCGTCGCGAGAATCCTCGGCAAAACACGGGACGAAGTGCAGACGCGCGCGTCGTCGCGCGCGCATGCCGAAATCCTTCAAAAACCTTAGGTTTCGGAGGGATTTCAAAATCGTGTGCCCAAAAAACATACAACCATACAAGGTTTCACAACACGGATTTTCAACAAAAGCTTGCGCGCGCGCTCTTGCGTCGTCGTCGTCGTCGTCGCCGTCCTCCCTCCTCCCTCGTCGTCGTCGTCGCCGTCGTCGTCCTCTGTCTTTCCTCGTCGTCGTCGTCGTCCTCTTTGGCGTCGTCGTCGCTTCCGTCGTCGTTGTCGCCGTGGTCGTCCTTCCTCCTCCCTCGTTGTCGTCGTCGTCCGTCGTCGGCGTCTCGCCGTCGTCCCTACTATTTCGTCGCCGTCGTCTTCGTCGTGGTCGTCGTCTTCATTCCTCCCTCGTCGTTGTCGTCGGCGTCGCCGTCCTC